GTTTGCAACTAATGTTCACATAGAAATTCTCTTTCCTGTTTGTGTAAAAAATTGTTGTTAACCCATTAATGCCCACAGTTACATATATGTAACGCAAATTAATTCAAATTTGGACTCGAAATGCATAGAAATGGAAAATGCAAAGTTACTTTTTTCTGGTGGATAGGTTAACTTAACATGTTCTTAACGATTATAAATCAAACTTAAGTAATTTTTGCCTATAGAATTGTATTTTTGGGTTATTTTGTAAAGTGCCTATTTCGTAAACCTGCAAAAAGTCATATTTTTCGAGGAATGAATTCTTAGAATGTTAATAACTTCTATGTAGTTAGTTTTTAAAAAAAGTTTCTGACGTAAACTTATGAAGAAGTAATTAATGTTTATTACCTAATTGTTTACAAACATATACCATGTCCTTGCGGAGACTTATAAAGAGGATAATGAAGGTGTTACGTATATGTAACAGTGGGCAGTTCTCAGTACTTTTTGTCCCACTCTACATACGATATAAATAATGAACAACTTGCTTTTTTTATGAAATCTGCCTCAAAAATAGTTTTTTATCAGAGGAATGGGTTTTTAACGTAATAAAAAACAACATATTTCCTTGAAATATTGATATTTGATGACAAGCAATATATTTTTAATTTCTCACAAATAGAAATTATTTTAAATACAGAACATAGGTTAAATTTAGTATGCTCTGTAAGGCGTAATGAAAGTAAGTCTAAAATATTAAGGTAAATCTGAATCAATCCATAAAATTTGATAATTTATGAAACCAGTTTAAGGTGGAGGGTATTTAAGATTCGGAAGAGCCGAATATAGCACTCTAACTTGTTTTTTTAGTATATATAAATTTTATTTTCAATTCAATTTCATTACAATTATTTAGCCTCAGCGCCTAGAAGGCATTGTTGAGGCGAGTTGGCAAATTATATTTTAATACTAATATTTATATACATATTTAGATATTTAAGGTAAAATAAAAAACAAAAAAAATTTTTTTATAAAAAGTAATAACAATGTAAACAATCTGAGATCATTAGGATATATATTCATTTAAGTGATAAAAATATATTCTTTTAATAATTTCTTAAATATAGAAATTCTCGTTTAATTTTTTAAATTTTGTGGCAAATTATTATATTCACGACTACCCATGAAATCTGCTCTCTGTTTAGTTGCTTCTAATCTACACCATCTTCATGATATGACTTTAGTTCTCATGACTTAAAAAAGTGTACAGTGAAGAAAATCGACATAAAGTTTTTTTTTACTAACTAAAATCTCCCTGACAAATTGTATGAGGATCGGTCCATAATTGACTCTACTGCCCATATAAGGCCCCTTTCAGAAAATAACTATCTCTCATCACTGGTTTAAAAAGACGAGTATAGCGTTGAAATTCGACTCATTAATGTCTAATAAATGACAACAACAAAAGCATATATTCATATATATCAAAGTTTATTTGTATGGCAGGTTTCGTGTTATATGATTTGATGGTGGGTATATAAGATTCGCCACAGCCAAAAATAAAACTCTTACTTGTTTGATATTAATTGCACGAAATGCATTCTGAGATCTTTTTATACCCTCCACCACCATTAGTAGTGATGGAGGGTATATATAACTTTGTCATTCCGAGATCTTTTTATACCCTCCACCACCATCAGTGGTGATGGAGGGTATATATAACTTTGTCATTCCGTGTGTAACACCCAGAAATATTCATCTAAGACCCAACAAAGTTTATATATTCTTGGATCTTATGAAATTCTGAGTCGATCTAGCTATGTCCGTCTGTCCGTCCGGCTGCCTGTCTGTCTGTATAAAACATTCTCACGCTAATACGAAGCAACAGAAATTAACGAAATTCACCCAAAATATCTATTATTGTCCTAGGCATAGCTCATTATCAAATAATGATATTCATTCAAAATTTGGCACACATATTACCTTTGTATACAGAAATGTTATTTTATTTTATTTTATTGGTCATAGCTCCCATACAAGGTCCCATTCCCAAAATCACTTAAACGCACATAACTCATTTCTAAATAAAAATATGTTACTGTGAAATTTTTTTCCGAACGGTCCATAATTGGTTCTATCTCCCATACAAGGTCCCCTCCAGAAAATCACTTAAACGCACATAACTCATTTCTAAATTCAAATATCCATACAAAATTTGGTGCAAGTAATGCTCTTATATACATAAATGTTATTGTGAAATTTTTTCGATCGGTCCATAATTCGTCATAGCTCCCGTACAAGGTCCCCTCCAGAAAATCACTTAAACGCAAATAACTCATTACTTAATTAAGATATCCGTATAAAATTTGCATTTATATACATAAATGACATTATAAAATTTTCACGATCTTTTTTTTCGATCGGTCCATAATTGGTCATAGCTCCCATACATGATATCAGGAATCAAAAATGTTTAAACTCAAAACAATTGATTCAAAATTTCTCATAGCCCCCATACAAAGGTACATATTCTCGGAAATAGATTTATCGTTAATAACTTCGGCAAAAATATCGGTATCACCACGAAATTTTGTATATAATATGAACAGAAATCATATTACCAACGTAGATCTGTATAGGTCCATTATTGGTCACAGGTCCCATATAAGGTCCAGTTGCGAAAAATATTTAAATACAAATAACTAATTAAGAAATAAAGATATTGGAATAATATTCAACATAAAAATGTTTTGTGTATACATATATCACTTTACAAAATATTTTTCGGATTGGTCCATAATAGGGCATAGCTCCCATATAAGGAACATTTCCGATAACCACGTAATCGCACATATTACATGACTGAATGAATGTGTTTAAAGTAGATATGAAACACCCTGCGAAATTTTATCCGGATTGGCTTATAATTGGTCACAGCTCCCATGTAAGGTCAACTTCAGAAAATCAGTTAAATGCACACAACTAATTTAGAAATAAGGATATTGAAATTATATTAAACATAAATATGTATTGTGTATACATATATCACTCTGCAAAATATATATTGGATCGGTTTATAATTGGGCATAGCTCCCATATAAGGCCCATTTCCGATAACCACGTAAACGCACATATTTCATAACTGAATGAAGATATCGGTATAAAATTAGTCATGAATGTGTTTAAAGTAGATATGAAACACCCTACGAAATGTTTTCCGGATCGGTCCACAATTAGTCACAGCTCCCATATAAGGACCACTTCCGAAAATAGCTTAAATGCAAATACCCAATAAAGAAATAAAGATATTTTAAAAATAGGCTATATAAATAAGTTTTATTTTTTCAGATCGGTCTATAATTTATCATATCTGTCATATAAGATACACTTCAGAAAATCGAATATTTCATTGATAAATAAAGATATCGGAATAGGTATATCTTGTGTATATAAGAAATCTTAAAAAAAAATAGGATCAATTCATTATTGGTCATAGTTCTCATATAAGGTCCATTTCCATAAGTCACTTTTTCCAATAAATTTCATCCAATTATAAATATACACGGATAAAATCCGAAATAGTGTGTTTTTTTATCGATAGATCATTCTGCGAAATTTTGTTCGGATTGGCCAATAATTGGCCATATCTCCATAAGAGGTATGTAGTATTTCTAAATGATAGCACCCTCAACACGGAAGCCCAATTTAAACTTTCACAATTTATTAAATACGTATCTAGAAATATTTATAAGGGTTTTCATAAAAAGTAGCTTACAGGTGGAGGGTATTTAAGATTCAGCATAGCACTCTAACTTGTTTTTTATCAAACTTGTTTTTCTCCACCCCAAATAATAAAATAAAGTAGATATGAAACACCCTGCGAAATTTTATCCGGATTGGCTTATAATTGGTCACAGCTCCCATGTAAGGTCAACTTCAGAAAATCAGTTAAATGCACACAACTAATTTAGAAATAAGGATATTGAAATTATATTAAACATAAATATGTATTGTGTATACATATATCACTCTGCAAAATATATATTGGATCGGTTTATAATTGGGCATAGCTCCCATATAAGGCCCATTTCCGATAACCACGTAAACGCACATATTTCATAACTGAATGAAGATATCGGTATAAAATTAGTCATGAATGTGTTTAAAGTAGATATGAAACACCCTACGAAATGTTTTCCGGATCGGTCCACAATTAGTCACAGCTCCCATATAAGGACCACTTCCGAAAATAGCTTAAATGCAAATACCCAATAAAGAAATAAAGATATTTTAAAAATAGGCTATATAAATAAGTTTTATTTTTTCAGATCGGTCTATAATTTATCATATCTGTCATATAAGATACACTTCAGAAAATCGAATATTTCATTGATAAATAAAGATATCGGAATAGGTATATCTTGTGTATATAAGAAATCTTAAAAAAAATAGGATCAATTCATTATTGGTCATAGTTCTCATATAAGGTCCATTTCCATAAGTCACTTTTTCCAATAAATTTCATCCAATTATAAATATACACGGATAAAATCCGAAATAGTGTGTTTTTTTATCGATAGATCATTCTGCGAAATTTTGTTCGGATTGGCCAATAATTGGCCATATCTCCATAAGAGGTATGTAGTATTTCTAAATGATAGCACCCTCAACACGGAAGCCCAATTTAAACTTTCACAATTTATTAAATACGTATCTAGAAATATTTATAAGGGTTTTCATAAAAAGTAGCTTACAGGTGGAGGGTATTTAAGATTCAGCATAGCACTCTAACTTGTTTTTTATCAAACTTGTTTTTCTCCACCCCAAATAATAAAATAAATTTAAAAAAAATTTATTTATATTTTATTTAAAAATATATATACGTATGTAATGCTATTGCAATAAAATATATTATATTGTACATTTTAAGAATATAAATAATTAATTTTTAATCCATTAAATTGTGTTAAAAATAACATTTAAATTTTAAAAATAATTTTTAAGTTTTAAGCAACCTTGGTTGGATTTTACTATATTCAAGGAATTTTAATTTCATATTCAGCTTCTCTTTGGTTTCTGCAACTATGTTAAACGAATTATGGGTGTCTGTTACGGTAAACTTTTTTCTGGTTTGGGCTCCGGCTTTATCAGTAACTAATTTCTGCTGAGGTGGAAAGAAGTAACGTAGGAAATATAGAATAGAAAATATCCTTGATTCTGATAAAAAAGAAATAAAATGTAATTATGTAAATGTTAAATGTCAATTATATTAAAGTCAACAATATAGCAGCTTACCATCATTGCTTCACATTTTTCAGCATTGTTGTAACAGAAACGTCTGGTACTTACATTGGTCTGAAGCAGATGTAACAAATTACATATTTTCCGTAAAAACCCACTTGGTTTTCATTGGTTTAGCTTCAGATCAAAATCTATGTCAATCTGTAAAATTTAAATTAGTTAAAAATAATCTAATTTACAGTGTATTAAGAGTTAACTTACGGAAGGTTTTATGTATTCAGGACATAATTTTAACATCTCGGACAAAGACTTTGATCCCTCAATTTGCTGAAAATAAATAAATATTTCAAATGACTCATTACAAAAGGAACACCTTATTAAACATACCATCTCTATGTGGCTTCCGAAGAAAAATTATAGATGTAAATAATTTTAAAAAATTACGATTATGTATATTTGTTTATAATCACTCTTCACTTTAAGTACAAATGTGTATTAAATTATTACAATTATAATTACTTCTATTTTTAAATAGATCACTCTTAACAAAATACTTCCGGCCACTTTGATTTGCAAAATAAAACTAAACATAAACAAAACAAGTAAGAAATTATAGTCGGGCGAGCCGACCATATGATACCCTACACCTGTTACAAAAATAAAATGTGATTTAGTTTTCATAATAAAGCATTGTAGTTGAATAGTACCTTGCGTCAGATAATTAAGCCATTTATTGTTGAATCAAATTGTGGACATTTAAGTCAAATTTTGAAGGGGGCTTTGTATAGGTGCTATGGTCAAATGAGACCCTATAATTATAAAATTCATGAGAGTCATCAAGGCTAGTATAGCACTTGGTTTTGCAGCTTTTTGTTGAGATACGAGTATATTAAACATAATTATGTATTTAAAAGCCCTATTCGTCGGGTTGGGGGACCGATGTTAACCATTTTCAATAGGCTTTATCTCCGGTACTATAGAAGATCATGTGCCAAATTTCATTGAATTATCATCAAAATTGCGACCTGTAGTTTGATTACAAGGTTTATAAGCCCTATTCCGGGGTTCAGTTGTATGGTGGCTAGGTGAAATAATGGACCGATCTTAACCATTCTCAATAGGCTTCGTCCATGGGACAATAGAAAATCATGTGCCAAATGTCATTGAAATATCTTCAATATTGCGACCTGTAGTTTGATTACAAGGTTTACATCGACTCAGAAAATGATTCTAAGCCGATTGGTATACTTTAAGGTGGGTATGGTGCCAATATTATTGTGCGTTACAAACATCAGCACAAACCCAATATACCCTCCCCACTAAAGTGGTGTAGGGTATAACAAGTTAGAATGCTATATTTGGCTCTACCGAATCTTAAATACCCTCCACCCAATAAATACCCAAAACCCAATATAAATATGTTATAAATGGTTAAAGTTATAGGGCCGAATTTATAATTTATACCAAAGAAATACATTTTACTTAAGTATTAAAATACATACTAAGTACTAAAGTACTTTACTTCCCTTATGGAGAACTGTAAAACCCGGCACATATTTTGTTTCCGTAATTAAGATACTATTTATCATTTTGTAACATCTTTATGCATGTATGTATGTAACTAATTTTGATTAGGCCCAGAAACATTTGTATTAAGTGATTTTCAGATACCGACCGATTATTCTTCGACCTATTATGTGACGATCCTGCCGATAATTTATGTGGGAACTATGACCAATAATGGACCAATTCGAAATAAAAATAATCAAAATGATTTATCTGTACACAGAACATACTCATGTCGAGTTTAATAATGTTGGCAAATGTTCACGAATTATTATATATATATATATATATATATATATATATATATATATATATATATATACAAAACAAATTCATGTTAGCTTTATTTATCAAAGAATTATGTGCATTTAAGTGATTTTCGGATGTGGACCTTATATGGGAGCTATGACCAATTATGGACCGACCCGAAAAAAAAAAAATTCGTAAAGTAATTTATTTTTATACACAAAATTAATATTACACACATCATGCCGAATTTTATCTCGATAGCTTTATTTATCAATGACTTAAGCTTGTTTAAGTGATTTTAGGATGTGCACCTTATATGTGAGCTAGTACCAATTGTGGACTGATCCGGAAAAAATTTCACTGAATGATTTATATCTATATACAAAACATATTCACCTCGAGTTCTACCCTGATAGCTTTATTAATCAATGAATTATGCACATTTGAGTGATTTTCGGATGTGGGAGCTATGACCGATTATGGACCGATCCGGAACAAATTTCGTAGAGTAATTCATATACACACAAAACACATTCATGTCGAATTTTATCCAGATAGCTTTATTTATCTATGAATTATGCTCGTTTAAGTGATTTTCTTATATATACCCTCTATCACCACTGATGGTGGTGGAGGGTATAACAAGTTAGAGTGCTGTATTCGACTGTGCCGAATCTTAAATACCCTCCACCAGCAAGCTATTTTTAATTAAAACCCATTTAACTATCTAATTTTTAGTATTGATATACATATGTCAATCTAATTTTAATTAAGTCCAGAAAATTTTTCGAAAACATTTTAATGTAATGATTTATCTATACACAGAACATATTTATGTTGAATTTTATCCGGTTATAATCATTTAGTAACGAATTAAGTGTATAAAGTGATTTTCAACAGAAAACCTTATATGGGAGCTAAGACAACTTATGGATCCGGAAAAAAATTTCGATTTATATGCTCACAAGTCGTACTTTATCCCGATAGCTTTATTATTCAAAGAAATATATGCGTTTAAGTGATTTTCCTATGTGGACTTTATATGGGGGCCTATCAGGAAAAAATTTCGTAGAGTGATTCATATAAAGACAAAACATATTTATGTCGAATCTTATCATGATAACTTTATTTGACAATGAAATATGTGCATTTAAGTGATTTTCGGAAATGGGCCTTATACGGGAGATATGACCAATAATTTACCAATCCGGAAAAAAAGTGGTAGAATGATTTTTATGTACACAAAACATATTCAAGTCGAATTTTATCCTTATAGCTTTAGAATTCTATTAAATCTATGCCTTTAAGTGATTTTCCGAAGTGGGCCTTATATGGGAGCTATAACCAATAATGGACCGATCCGTAAAAAATTTGGTAGAATAATTTGTATGTACACAAAACATATTTGTGTCGAATTTTACCTCTATAGCTTTTGAATTCAATGAAATATATGCGTTTAAGTGATTTTCGGAAGTGGACCTTATATGGGATCTTTGACCAATTATGGGTCTATCCGGAATAAAATTTCGTAGTATGATTCATATTTAGACAAGATGTAGATAGCTTTATTTGACAATGAAATATTTGCTTTTAAGTGATTTTCGGAAGTGGGCCTTATATGGGAAATATGACCAATAGTGGACCGATCCATAAAAAATTTGGTAGAATGATTTGTATGTACACGAAATATATTCAACTCGAATTTTATCACAATAGCTTTATTTTTTTTAGGTTTAGGTCATTTTCGGAAGTGGACCTTATATGGGAGCTATGACCGACTGAGGTCTACGTCGACAGTACGATTTCTGTTCATATCATATTTGCATGTTCAAAATTTTGTGTTGATACCGATCTATTTGGGGGAGTTATATGATAAACTAATTTCCGGGAATATATACCTTTGTATGATGGCTATGGGAAATATTGGATCAATTGTAAAGATTTTGAACACAATTGATCACTGCTTTAAAAAAATAATATGTGACAAAATTCATCGAAATATCTTCGGTAGTTTTTGAGAAAACTTGTTAAGAAAATCATACTGTCAACGCAGATCTCAGTCGGTCCACAATTGGCCATAGCTCCCATACAAGGTCCACTTCGGAAAATCACCTAAACGCACATATTTCATTGATGAATAAAGCTATTGTGATAAAATTCGAGTTAAACATGTTTTGTGTACATACAAATCATTCTACGAAATTTTTTACGGATCGGTCCATTATTGGTCATTGCTCCCATATAAGGCCCACTTCAGAAAATCATTTAAAAGCTCATGTTTCATTGTCATATAAATCTATCTTGATGAAATTCGACACAAATATGTTTAGTCTAAATATAAATCACTTTACGAAATTTTTTCCGGATAGGTCCATAATTGGTCATAGCTCCCATATAAAGTCCACTTCCCAAAATCACTTAAACGCATATATTTCATTGAATTATAAAGATATCGGGATAAAATTCGACACAAATATGTTTTGTATACATACAAATCATTTTATTAATTTTGTTACGGATCGGTCCTTTATTGGTCATAGCTCCTCCCATATAACCCCATTTCCGAAAATCACTTAAAAATACATATTTCATTGTCAAATAAAGCTATCGTGATAAAATTCGACATAAATATATTTCGTATAAATATGAATTATTAAACGCACATATTTCTTTGAATAATAAAGCTATTTGGATAAAGTACGACTTGAATATGTTTTGTGAGCATATAAATCATTCTACCAATTCTTTTCCGGATTGTTCCATATATGGTAATAGCTCCTTCAAAAAAATCACTTAGGTAGGTAGGTAGGTAGGTTGATAGGAGGATGTATACTACATCAAATCCGAAGAAATACACCTAGGCCACTATCGGGCCTGTTGTGCGCTCCAATTCAAGAAAAAAAAAAAAAAATTGTTCACTGAATGTATTATTTTTCCATGTTCAGAAACTCAGTTTCCTGGACGTAATTCCTAAGAATCTTCCAATCGGTGTTGGTTAAGAATGTTATTTCTGGAATAACATCACTTCCAAGATTCTTGGATCTAACTTCGACGAATGCCTGACAATGGCAAAGAAAGTGCTCCAGAGTTTCACTGTCCTCTCCACATGCTCTACATTCGTCTGAATTCGCACGTCCAATTTTGTATAGATGTGCTCGTAATCCTGTGTGTCCACTGAGAATACGTACCATCATACTAACCTCAGACTTGCTCATTTTGAGAAGATTTCTCGTCTTGCTCTCATCAGGGTCACCCCATAGAATCTTTGTGGTTCTACCCACCGTTTCATTATTCCAAGAGGCCTTATGGGATTCTCTCATCCATATTTTTAATTCAGCTTTTGTTGCGTCGAATGGTTTTGCGTTTGTCAAGTTAACTACATCGAGCTCCCTTCCCTTTAAAGCTATTACATTCGCCCTTTCGTTGCCGATTACTCCCGAGTGGCCTGGTACCCATATGATGTGAACCTTACCTCTGGGAGAGT